AACATCAATTTTGAAGAAAGGGAAGGTGAACAGTTCAGACTTATCTCCTATTTCTGCAGGTGGAGGTGAATATGTACCATGGAATGCCCAGAAAAGCAGAAGGACAGATGGTGTAAAATCAGTTCAGGGATGATTGGATGGAAATTTGAGGGAGTAGAATGTAAAATAATAATTGTAAGTTCCAGACGGACTGCAAAAAAAATTGTCTCAATCATCTGATTTCCTATTTGAACAGATCAAAGTAAGCTGACCATGATAATGCACTGCTCTTCAAAGTAACTACTTACTGCATTTTTCAGTAGTTTTTGTAGTTCATGGGTTATGGGAGTCACTGGCTAGGCCCACATTTATTGCCCCATTAACTGCAAAAGTCAATTACATTATCATGGTTCTAGAGTCATATATAGGCCACACTAGTTAAGGATGGCAGTTTCCTTCATTAAAGGGCATTATTGAACCAGATGGGTTTTTCCTGACAATTGGACAATGGTTTTGTGGTCATCATTAGACTCTTAGTTCCAGATTTTTATTGCATTCAAGCATTGCCTTCTGCCATGGTGGGATTTAAACCCAGGACCCAAAACATTACCTGGGTGTCTGAATTAATAACCTAGCAATGATACCTTTGGGTCAACATTTTCCCTAGATTGATATTGTGAAATAATAATTCTATTTTAGATCATTATTTTCGAAATGTTTCATTCAAAATGAGCTCATTCTAATATTTTTATCTCGAATGCTGTATTAACTTAATCACAGGCACACAGATTATCATAAAATTAACACCAAAAATGTAGATTTTATTAATCACATCCAACATTATATGTGAAAATTACAAATATTCATATTTGCTTATGCATCCAAGGGAAGTACTGTTTGCTTACATTCCACAAATGTAATGTGTATAAAGATACCTTAGGAATAATTTGGACATTGTGCAATAGTGTAAGTGGATGATAATGAATTATCAGACAATTTCATAATCTTCAAATTTGCTTTTTGCCATTTTACACAATTACATGAAGGTAAAATTCAACAGTCCCCTCTCACTCTGTCTGCCCTTGATAGCACAGATTGATACAAGCATTAATGGACAGAGCAAAGAATTAAACATATTTATCAAAATAAATTAAAATAAATTTGGTCAGATTAATAAAAATGTTGGACACATTGATTGTTTAGTTTGCAGCAAACCGCAGGAAGCCTCACATATTGCTGACAGTTTGTGTTGTGAAAAATGCCATTTCTTTTAAAACAATTTTTTTATTTGCAATATCTTTCCATTAAAACACTTCCACATTTTAATCCAAAATACAAACTAGTTTTTTTCACAGAGATTTTGCACTACATGGTAGAAGTATGGAATGTAAAGCTGCAATTTTTGCCTATTTTTGTTGTCTTTGGCTCTTGGTGAAATTCTAAATTTTTTTTCTTTATGCACTCACGGTATGAGGGCATCGCTGACTGGGCAGCATTTATTGTCTATCCCTAATTGCCCAGAGGGCAATTAGAGTCAACCACAATGCTGTGAGCCTGGGGTTACATGTAGGCCAGACCAGGTAAGGATAGCAATTCTTTCCTAAAGGACATTAGTGAATCAGATGGGTTTTTCCTACAATTGACAATGGATTCATGGTCATCATTAGACTCTTAATTCCAGATATTTATTGAATTCAAATTCCACCATCTGCCATGGCCGGATTCAAACCCAGGTCACCAGAACATTATCTGGATCTCTGGATTAACATGATGTTAAATCCAAGTGAATGAATAGCAGTTTCAAGTACTGACAGTAGTTTGTTCTGATTAGATATTCTCAAAGTAAGCAAGCTAACAATTTAAAAAATGTTTTCAGTCATGTTGATTTTTGAGACATTAGTTATACCCATTCACAAAATTTGTACATTTTTACATCAACCAAATATCAGCAAATATTGAAGAGATGCAGCAATTTGAAACATTTTTCATGATGACTTGACTTCCATGAACATTATTTTCAAATTCTCATTAAATATTCTCTTTGTCTTTTTTTTTCTGTCTCTATGAGATATTACAATAGGTTTCCATGAGGAGGGTCAATCCATTTAGTTACTACCCAAGAAGTCAGTCATGATGTGTAAGCAATGTATTCGGTATGAACAGCAATATGACCCAATGTTGTTCTCACCAAACAAACACATGGGACTAGGGATCCCTAAGTAGCCATCAAGTGTTGCTTTTTCTCTTCCCAAACTGGACATAATATACCACACCCCAATTGTACCCATGGTAAGGCAATTTGTCTCAACGCTTACCAGGGAACTAACTTTGGAACAAGTCATACTCTTTTTAATGAGAATATGAATTCCTATATATCTCTTCAGCAAACACACATGACAGCTCAGGTACTTGTCTTCTGACTGTGATAAAGGGTTGAATATGCAATCTGTTCTGAGTCGTCCTTTAATATTTCTCAAAGTTAGCTTTGAGAAGTTAGTGGGAATGTGAAAGAAAACTTGGGATAATTGCAACCTTGAGTTTTTATCCCTGCAGGAAAATACTCAAGCACAATTAGAGACTTGTCACAGCAACTAAACAGAAATAGGCAAATGAAAGTAACTACAGCTGTTCCAGCATTGTACCCCAGTTTCTAATCTGTAATCTCGAACTTCATGAATCTCTATTTGTAAGTAAGAAACATCAGTAGGCCATTCATCCACTCAACCTGCCCTACCATTCACTAAGATTGTGCCTCAGCTCAATTCTATTTCCTTCTCATGATACACTTGCCTAACAAAATTCTATCAATCTCAGTCTTGAAAATTTCAATTGGCCCAAGATCCACAGCCACTTTGGGAGAAGTTGTTGGAATGTCATCATCCTCAATGTGAAGAAGCGCTTCCTGATTTCAATTCTGGCTCTAATTTTAAGATTGTTGCTCTTTTGTTCTGGATTCCATCACCAGGGGAATTTATTTTTCTGTATTTGCCTGGACAAATTCCTTTATCATTTTACACATCTCAGTTAAACACAAATCAAACATATGTAACCTGTCATCATAACTTATTTCTCTCAACGTTTGTTTCATTCAAAATTAAAATACTACAGGATGCTGGAAATCTGAACTAAAACCAGAAAATGTTGAAAATGTTCAGAAAGTCTGGCAACACCAATGAAGCAAGATATCTGCTGATTAATTTATGTCGCAATTCACTAATATCAACACATCTTGCCCTGAGGATCAGTGCCTGAACCTAAAAGCAATATATTCCAAGTGGGGTCTGACCACGGGTCCATACAACCAAACCACTTCTTTCCTCATTGTGCTTTTTAAAACTTCCCTCCTACGAAGGTCAACATGTTTTTGCCTTTTTCAATACATTTTGACTGTAAACTAGCTTATTGTCATTTATGTTCATGGACATCTTTGCTCTTTCTCTGTTTCTTCCTTCTTAGTAATGAGAAAATATTAACATTTGTCTTAGACCAATTTCCCCACTTTGACTGTCACCTGCCACAGTTTTGTCAATTCATTTAGTCTGTTTTTGTCACTTTTCAACTTCTTGCTCCTTTCTCCACAACTTGCCGTGTTTCCTACTGTCATTTGTAAACTTAGACATAGAACCCTATTCCTTGTCGCAAATTATAAATATATATTGCAATTGGTCAGGATTCTGCAAAGAACACCTGTTGTTAAATCCTACTACCATGGCAGCTGTGGGAGAGAGGACAAATTTAATCCCTAAGTGGGTTGGGCTCGATGCACTAGCTGGTCTTTTCCTGATCATTATTTTCATATATTCCATCAGACAATGCTCCCTTTATATCTAAACTCAGACTCCCATTCTCCAATCACTCTCCTAGCTCTAATTTGATGTATATTACTCTCTGACTTAGCAATTTACTAATAATCTCCAATGCAGAACTTCATCAAATGCCTTCCAAAAGTCCCTCAGACAACGCTCATGGACTCTCCCCAATCCACCAATGGCTTCCCTAAAAACTGCAACTGGACAAGTAGGCCATCTCTATCCTGCAAAGATCCAAGCTGTCTGTGATCTTCTTGAATTTATCAAAGTATTCAGTCACCCTGTCCTGGTCATGGATTCCAGTAACACAGCCACAAATGTTGCTGTTTTGACAGCTTCAAAATAATTTGGTTTGTCAATACTTCCTTTGTTGCTAAAATAATGGACTGAAATTTGAAATTTTCTTGTTTAAAGTTACAATTTATAAATCTAGAAAGTTTGAACATTCATGATGAACACAACTGCAATCTCTTCATACAAAATCCTGGAAATGTGTTTATCTTAAGACATATTACCATCATCATCTTTTTACTTATTTCAAGATCCCTTAGTATTTTGCTCTCTTCCTGCACTGTGGAAACAAATACAAATTACTAGTTTAATAAGTCTAGCATTTCTTTATTGTCAATAATTATCTTGCTTCAACCTGTCTTTAAAGGTACCTGAGATAACAAGGTGTAGAGCTGGATGAACACAGCAGGCCAAGCAGCATCAGAGGAGCAGGCAAGCTGAC